TTTAGATGATTGTGAAATTAAAAATAATAGTGGAGTTGAAATTAATTATTATTGCAACAAGAATGCTTGGACTTATAAGTTCTAATTTGAAAGGTAGAATCCTCTGGTTCATGCCTAAATTTCTTATCATATAATGTCCATTCACACTCTTCTTTGAATATAGCCTTTAGTCTTAATTTGTCATTTTTCTTAAAACTAATGTTCACTTTATCCTTGATACTAGCATTTTTCACAGCATTGCTTAACTGCTTCTTATTCCTAAACAACGTTCAAACATAGAATATAAGGTCATCAATGTCAATGTTTTGAAATTCAGGCCATTTCTTCCTATCAACATTATCATCAAATCTATCAATACTATAAATATAGTCATAAGAATTTACTCTTAATTCTTCTATCTCATCATGACCGCTTTTTTCATCACTTTCAATGTTAGAAAACATAAACCCTAAAATAATTTCTAAATCAAATCATGAATATTAAACAACCAAAATCATAAACAATGTGAAATTAGCAAAAATCATAAATAAACAAGCAAAAAAACTAACCATAAACAACATCACAATCGTCATCTCTCAACCTCTAAACCATGATATAGTCGATCCCCACGTTGACAAGTGGTCCCTCCTTGGTCGATCCTCTCTTTCACAGTTTCAGAGAATCTTTTCACTTCACAAGGTCTCTTTTTTCTCGTTGACCTCTTTCTCTTTCACAGTTTGACAATCGACTTACTAATTTTTTTTAGTTTTTGGTGTTTTTTTCTAGTCAAAGATTTTTTTTGTTGGTCTTTTATCTTTTGTGTTTTATGATTTGTTTAGTGGACAAAAAATTCCACGTCATATTTTCAAACAATAATAAAATTTTATGTAATAAAACAATATAAGGTTATGTGTCATGTCATGTTGGATTTTTCATCAATTTAGACAGTCCAATAGATAGAAAAACTATATTGATACGCATTTGGGTAATTGAGAACTCAATTAGGATTTTTTAAAATTTATGGACCAATATAGAATTTGACCCAAAGTTTAGGGACCACGAATACTATTTACACTTTATTTTATATATATAAAGATTGTCAAAACTTTGTAGGGGGCCAAGGCCATTCATGCTTATATGACAATCTTAAGGGTGAGCAAATGATCAATTTGGTTAATTCGATTGTAAAAATCCAAAAACCAACTTAACTGACTTAATTTACACAAAAATCAAACTGAATCGATTTAGTCATTTTTCTATTTGCAAAGCAAATTGTAGAAAAGCATCTTCTTTTTAAAAATCTCTACACCATTCATAACAACATTAAAAAAAATAACAGATTAACAAAATCACCATTTTCATCTCCAGAAACAAGAGCATCCTATTTAGTAACTAACTTCGATGGCAAAAATATCAAAAGACTTGGAAATGACAATGACTAAAATACACTAAACAAATTATAATTTGAAATTATTAGCAAGAGATTAAAAAATTAAAAAAAAAACATATATATACAAGTTAAAAAAGTAAATACAACTAAAAAAATTCAAAGTTTTATCTTTTTTTCTTGAGATATATTTAAAATTTCACATCTAGAAAAATGAAGTTTTAACTTTTACCTTAATACAACGAGCTGTAGTTTAAAAAAAAAAAGGATTAAGCATTTTCTAAAAACCAATCAATAGGAGAATTGGAAAAAAAAAAGTAAAGAAAATCTTAATAGTTTTGGTATTACTGCAGTATTAAGAGAGTTAAGTGTAGATTAGTAAAAAAGAAAGTACAAACCCTGAAAATTATAAGGTTAAATATAAAAATGGCTTTTAACTTTTATATTTTTTATTAATTTGATACTTAAAAAAATAAGATTATCATATTAGTACATAAACTATCATTCCATTACCACGTTGCTACCTAAGATTGACGTCGTTAATCAAATTTGCTAATGTGATATGAACATCGATTAAAATGTTGACACTTGTCAAAAAGTCAAATCAGTGTCATATCATAAATGCCACACTAGCATAAAAAGAAATTTTCAAAAAAAATTAAAAAGTTTTTAAATTTTTTTTAAAAATTCAACAAATTAAAAAAAAATTTTTAATTCCAAAAAATTCTTAAAAATTAAAAAAGAATTTAAACTTTACAAAAACTCTCAAAAAATACTAAAATTTTTTAACAAATTTCTAAAAATGTTTTAAAATTTCTAAAAAATTTTAAAACTTTCTAAAAAATCCTTAATCAATGCAAAAAATTTTAAAAATAAGTATTACTTTAAAACAATTCAAAAAAAAATTTTAAATAAAACAAATTTTACTAAATTGAAAAATTTTTAAGAATTTTTTAAGAAACTTTTAACAATTTTTTAAATGTATAAAAAAATTTACTAATTCAAATTTTTGTCAAAAAATACTTATTTTCTTAAAAAAATCTTAAAAATTTTTAGAAGATCTAAAAATTTTCAAAAAGTTTCTAAATAATTTGAAAAACTCTAAAAATTCAAAACAATTCTAAAAAATTTTAAAAATTTTCAAAAAAATTTTAAAAAATAAAAAATATGAAATATTTATAAGAATTATAAAAATTATGATATTTTTAAAAATTCAAAAAACTCTAAAAAATAATTAGAAATAAAAAAATTGAAAATTTTAATAAAACTTAAATTTTCTTAAAGTTTAAAATAATTTCAAAAACTTTAAATTAAAAAAATTAAAATTTTTTGGAAAATTTTGAAATAAAATATAAAAATGTTCAAAAAAATCTGAAAAATTTTAAAAAAATTCTAAAAATTTGTCAAAATTCTTAAAAAATTTAATAGTTTCAAAAATCTAAAATTTTCTAGCAGTTTTAAGAATTTTGAAAAATAATAAATAAAAAACCTTAAATTTTAATAATAATCTGAATATTTAATAAAAAGATTTTATAAATTCAAGAAATATAATAAAAATTAAAATCTTAAGATTCAAAAAATATGAAAAACTTTTAGAAATTTTAAAAAGCTTTTTACAACTTTTTAAAAATTTTTATGTTTTTTAAATTTTTTATTTTATTTTTTCGTGTTAACTATTGTTAAGTTTTTGTGATTTTTTTTTTAATTTTAGGAAAGTTTTATTTTTATAAAATTTTCATTTTTTTAATTTTTTAAAAATTGTTAAAATTTTTTTTAATGTTGAGATTTTTTTTAAAATTTATAAAATTTCTTTAATTTTTTAAGAAGTTTTTAAATTTTCTTTAAAATTTTTTTAAAATGTTTAAACACTTTTTTACAATTTTTAAAACTTTATTTATAATTTTTTAAAAAAATTTAGAAAATTTTTTGAATTTTTAAAAGAAATTTTAGATTGTTTTTAAATTTTTTAGATTTTGAAATTCTTTTATTTTCTAAAATTTTTAATTTTTTACAATTGTTAGAATTTTTTTTAAAATATTTAGAATCTTTTAAATTTTTTAAAAACTTTTATAATTTTTTATTTTTTTTTATTTATTTTAAATTTTTAAAAATTTTCTTTTAATTATGTCATGGCATTGGTTGGATTTTTTTTATACGTATTAGTATTTTGGTGGATGTTCATATCATGTCAATAAAGTTAACTAACAACATTAATTTGACGCACCAACATGATAATAGAATGAAAATTTAAATACCAATCTAATAGTTTTATTTCTTTAGATATCAAAATAACATAAAATGTATAATTTAGAGGTCATTTTTAGATATAACCCCAAATTATAATAATAAAGATTTAGGTGCATTGGAGCTTGACTCTTGTGGAAGGGAGAGAAAATAAAAGAGAAAAGGAGCACAAGAGTCGATAGAGGCATGAGAGAAAGAAACACTCAAATAGAAGAAATGGGGATAGGCAAATAGGGTTTTAGATTTTAGGATTTCATAAATGAATGTTAGATAAGAGAAACTAGGTATTTTTATTAAATATTTAATTATTAAAAATTGATTTTTTTGTCAATTCAATTTGTAAGATTCAAAATCGCAAATTAACCAACAAATCTTCTAAACTGCTCCTTAAACCGATTAGATTAATTAAACCTAAAAAATTAAACCAATTTAATTAAATGATCAATTTTAAATTGGTATAGTCAGTTTAAATTGACTCCTCTAAACAATCTGCCCCTAATCATAGAGGTGTAAATGAAATTTACTCAAATAAAATAAAGTTCTTTTTAACCCACCATTCAAAGACAATTACGAATTTAATTTGCTCACCCAAACTTAGGAAATACTTTTTCTTAAAACAAACAAGTAAATGCATGTTGATATTTATGCAAACAACATTTTAAAAGGAATATTATAATAACAACATATTACATTATTTTACCAAAAAATTAATAATTATGTTATGACTGAGATTAAATTTAATTATTTGTTTATTTTTAAATAATTATGATTTTATTTTTTATCTTTTGCTTTTGTATTATAACAATATTTTCAAAAGTAAAAAGCAAACGGAGAAAAAAAAAGAATATTAGTAAAAATACCAATCAACTAGAACTTAATTTTTTTATGTTCTTGAAGAGTTCAAGAAAACAAAAGATTTGACAAGGCATTTATCAATAGAAAATGAGTGTCATATATTCTTCTGATTCTTTACATAAGTTTTATGTCACTTCCTACTTTTTAGACATAAAAAGGTTTAGATAAAGTTATTTAGCTAAAGTATTTGAAATTTTTCATTAAAAGTAATTAAATTAAAATCAAAATTAAAATTTTAAATTAAAAGATTAAAAAGTCTTATTATATAAATTGTGTAAATTTTAATTTTTTTATATACTTCTTTTATATAATTTTTATCATTAAATAATTACTAATAAAATTTGAATTATAAATAATAATTTTAATAATTATTTTACATATCATTGATATTTTTGTTAAATTCTATCAATACATTTATTTTGATCTTTTATAATAATTTTTTAACAAAAAGCCCCCTACTCTTGTATATATACGGTGCCTTATACAAGAATGTGTTACCAAAACCTCAGAACAAAACGAAATTCCCTCTATCCCAATGGCATATTCTAGTTCCAACACACCAGTATCAATTATCAGCCCTCATTTCTGTGCTCCTGAATCCATTAATCTTGCAATTGTCCTGAAGGTTTTGACCACAACTGATGCCAACTTTGTAGTTACAGACATCAATGGCAATATTGTTTTCAAAGTTGAAAGAGCTTTTATAACCATCCATGACCAACGAGTTTTGCGAGACGCTGCCGAGAATCCCATTGTCACACTCAAATGGAAGCTATTGAGGGAAGATAGCACAGACTCCAGTGATCTTATATTTTCAGCGAAAACATCTTTGATTTTTCAGTTAAAGACTAAATTTAATGTGTTCCTGGCAGACAACACAAAGGAGGATGTTTGTGATTTTAAGATTAAAGGGAGTTGGTTGAAATGTTCCAGTCTTATTTATGATGGAGAGTCTTCCATCATAGTTGCAGAAGTAAGATTTTTCTGCTACTTCAACATCAATTTTTTTTTTACTAATTTTCTTCTATTCATCCACATTTAGTTCATTAATTTCTTCAAGGAAAAAAATGAACGCCCACGGCACTTAAAATTAATCCAATTAATGAGTGTCGAATTAATTATGTGAGCAGATGCGCAAGAACGGCAGTATTCAAAGCGTCTTGATAGTTCATGGTGACAGTTATCCCAACATCGAGTATGCATTCATCGTAGCCCTTATCGTGATTCTTGATGGGATAAATAATTTGGACGATTGAGACGGTTTCAATTGCTATTGTAAACCAGAAATCCTCTCCGATAGTCACGTAGAGTGCTGAAATTTGAGTTTAGTAATCAGATTCAATCCTTAGCAGCTTAAAATACGTTAAAAAAATAAATCTAGAATCTGTTCTTTTATTCTAATTTCTGCATTAAGATTAGCTCTGTTAGTTTGATTGAATATTCTCAAAATAATAAGTCACATTACATGCATGTGAAGGGTTATGTAAGATACGGGTTATTTACTAAGATTTATGTTTGAATAATTGTGTTTGTCCAAAAATAAATATATATATATGGACAATTATCTTTACATAAAAAAAATACTTATTTGGATAGTTATATACATCCAAAGATTCATTTTAATAGTTATGTATTTACGAAGAGACGTAAGTACAACTCTGATTTTTGGAAGAAGATATATATAAAAAAAAAAGAACAACTTGCATTGAATATAACAGATCTATACATATGGAACAAAATCAGGAAAACCTCTACAAGTTTTGTATTATCAAATTATATTCTTACATCCATGAATATTGAATGTATTGATTTCATAAGTGCAAAATGTAGTCAATTACTAACTTCTATTGTATGTTTGAGGTTATTTTCTAGACGTATATTCTAATAATTTTAAGGTTTTAATTTCTCAGTTAAATGAAAATTTTTTTTTTATCAAAGACAGTGATGATAAACAAAAAAGAATTTATTTTGAGATTCAAATAAAAGTTAAAATCGAGATTGTTTTATTTGGAAATTCACGAGGATTCACAAGATATGTTTTTTATTAGTAGATTTTTTATTTAACTTTTGTTTAATGAATTTTTTATTTCTTATATATACTAATTTCAAATGTAACATTGGAATGGATTCAAAGTTGTGGCCGGCGGGAGTGTAAAATCAATGGTGGAATTATTTTTTCTTATACTAATAAGCAAAATTTGGATACGATGGGAATAACTTGAAGCATGCAAAGTAGAAAGAGTATCCATAAATTCTTCCTTTTGTCAGTAGGTTATTGTATAAGTACTAAGTACAATGGAGGTTGATCACAGTTAGCGATATTGATAGGTGGGATATGGATAGGGTAGAGTCTTCTTGATCTTCATTCTTGTATTTTTATATTATATTAATTCTCATACTTATACCCAATGAATATTTTACATTTATCTATATCTCCATCCTTACGGATATTTAATGGGCATGAGTAATCCACATACCCATAGTATTTAACAAAAAACAAAAAACAAAAATTTTTTATAGTTTTTTTTATTTTTTATCTTGTATATTTAGGTATTTTTTATAAAAATATATATTAATATATTTTTAATAAAAATATATTAATTTTAATTAATCTAAAATAATAATTTATATTATTAAATAAAAAATCTACATACTAAATATATATAAATATATATGTAGGGTATAGGTATAGGACGGATACTATATTACTCATTTTTATCTTTGTACCTAATAAAAATTTAAAATCATACACACCTTTATTCCTATATTTACAATATCATATTCATCCTCATTCCCATTCGAGTAGTTTTGCATTTCTCCATTTTGTTTCTTGTTCTTGGGAAGAAAATGACCATGGACCGATAAGTGGGAAAGTTTGTATGATACTGTTATCACATGAATTAAAAATTTTTATTACATGGCTCAAGCATATAAAACTTAGAATAATTTTAGTAAAACTTATCTTTTATTTAAATAAGTATTTTTATTAAAATATATAATGATTTTCATTATTCAATATCCAAAATAATCAAAATTTGTGTCTAGATATTATTTCTAATTAATTTGCTTTTACATACTATTGATTTTTTTTTGTTAAACTTTGTTAATTAATTGGTTTTTTATTTTAAATTTAATTTTTATTCAACCAAATTTTAATTGTTAAAATATAATATCTATTACAATATAATTAATTTATATAAGAGTAGAAAGTTATTTTCTTTTGGGGTCTTAAGAATTTCAATTTGTAAGTATTTTATTTGTTTTTCTTATTGTCCTAAGCCAACAAGAATAAAGGCTGTAATAGAATGTTTATTTTATACATCCCTTAATTGATTAGAAAAGCAAAATGTCAAAGCCAAAATAAATAAGACAATGCTGATGATTATGATTTTACATATTCTTTCCTAATGCGAAAATAAATACGAAGAGGGTATATAAATTAAGTAAAACGATTAAAAGTGTCTATCAACCTAATCGATTGAGTAGGAGCATCGCAATAGTTGTTTTAGTAATTAACTAGCTTACACTAATGCAATGCATGAATTATTTTATTTATTTAAATATATATTTATATTGTAAAATTTATAATTTTTTTACAATTATATCTAAATCTTTAAAATTTAATGATATATATATAATATAAACTTTACTATTATTGTCTTGATCAAAATGATGAAAACAAATGTGAAACAAATAGGAGATATTAGATTTGAATAAAAAAATAAAAAAGAATTGAATATAAATATAATATTAGTTTTTTAGAAGAACATAAAAATATAACATTCAATGATCAATCATATATTAGAAGAACTATTGACATATCTTTATTAAATTATGATTTTGATCAAAATACCAAAAGAATATCAATTCAAAAATGTGTAACAAACAAAACAATTAAATAAAAATAATGTCAAAAGAAGAAATTATCTAAGTAAAATTAACAACAAAATCACAAAAGCAATAATGTAGACATCAAATTTTATTCGAAACATTTTAGTATGATTGAATAAAACCCATTTGAAACCTGTAAAAAAACCCCTTAAAGAGCTCATAAAATGTATTGTTATTTAAACTTAATAAACAAAGAAAAAGGAGACCCATATGATTATTGTCAAACTCTTTCACATGGGATTTATATAGATAATACCTTTTCATATTGATGCATAAGAAATAAAGAATAAATTAAACGAGTAAACCCCAAAGTCAACTTAAGCCAAAATTACATAAAACTTTGTCAAAATGAATAGAATTGGGGTCAATCCTCAAAGTTAACAAACTAATTGGAATCAATGTGATTTAAAATTAAATTTGATGATTTTTAAAACACTAAAAATTTTTATTGCATTGGGGAAAGTACAAAATTACAAAAGTATTTTTAAGGGATATTTTCGTAATTTATCCTTTTTGAGCTTGGATTTTCATTAAACTTTACAGATTTTAATTTCATAATATTTCATATTTTTGGTGCATATGAAATCACATCAATTCCCTGAAAGTGTGAAATTACCAAAATACCCTTATAAGGATATTTTCGTAATTTGGCCTTTTCAAGCTCAGATTTTCATAAAACTCTTTAGATCTTAATTTCATAATTATTCATAATTTTTAGTGCATTTGAATCATAATAGTACCCTAAAAAGTGTGAAATTACTGATACCCCTATAGGGGTATTTTTGTAATTTAATTTTTTTGAGCTCGGATTTTCATGAAACTTTTTAGATCTCAATTTTATAATCTTTCATGATTTTTGGTATTTTAAAATCTCAAAAATGAGTATAGGAACATTGATTTGTAAGAAAATGGCTTAAATACTAAAAATTTTGTACTATGGGTAAAATGGTCTTTTTATAGGTTTAGAGGTTATAAAAATTCAACATTTACAGTGAATAATGTGGACTATTGGATCTCTTATTGATTTTAATCTAATGGCCAAAAGTGGTTCCTTGAAAAGAGAAAAAAGAGAAACTTTGACCCTTGGATGAGATTTCATCCAAGGTTCTATATTCACCAAAATGAGATTCTTTTGGAGGGGGCTGACTTTGAAAAAGTTAAAGGTGGGGGGTCTGTCAAAAAGAGAAAAGAAAGGAGGAGAGGCTGCTAAAACGGGGGAAGAAGGGAAGCATGTAAAAAAAAAAAAGAAAAAAAACTGCTAAAAAAATAGAGGGCAAGCCAAATAGGGAGGGAAAAAAAAAAAGGGAACACTCACCAAGAAAAAATGAGGGGTCTGCCAAAAAAGTGAAAAGCTGAAACTTGTGGTAATCTTTTCATTTTTGCATTTTTTGTTCTTCTTTGTAAATGACATTACAATAGGCAACATTCTTGCTAACTTTACTTTGGTTTCTTGGCTCCATTTTAGCTGTTTTCTTCTTCATTTTATTGCTTTTAATTCTAGTTTTACTTTATTTTCCTAGTACTTGCACTTTGTTCTTCATTTAAGCTTTGTTTATTATATCTTAATTAATGAAATTTCTTGTTTTGATATTTTCAGTTCAACCTAGTTTCTTTTAGTTTTCCAAGTTTAAATTTCTTTGCTTTGTTCTTGTTTTTTGTTGAGAAGTATGGCTCTTGATAGTTGGATTGACCCTTGTTCATCATTGGGCATCAAAATGGCTTGACTCTTAAAGGCTTGATTATTTTTCCTTTGCCATTTAAGTATGGTTTTACCTACTTTTATTTTCTACCCAGCCTTTGTTTATATTGTTTATTGAGCTTGTTTTGGTTACTATTTGCTTGTTATTTTAATTTAGTTTATGTTATTTTATTATGATTTCATGATAGTTTAGGACCTTTCCTTTTCAGCACTTGCATTTCATTTATTTTCCTTTTATCTTCCATATGAATGTACGATTTTATCGGGGTTATTTTCTTGTCATTTTGTTCAGTTTTTACATTAAGTTGCCTCACATTATGAACTTATGGTAGGTAAAAATAATGTTTTGTATACCTTACAATAATCAATATTTAAGTAATAATAAATGGAATTTAAAAGAAAGATTATTAACAAAAAAAAAATCGATAAGGACAAAGGAAATTTTTTTTTCGATGATGAGATATTAAGGAATTTTGAATAGTGATTCTTTAAAATCTCTAGTTGAAGATATTTTTCTAGAAAAATTACCAAATTAATGAAGTATTTAAAAAAATATTTAATGCGAAAAAATTTCATTTATCTATTTTTCTAAGATTATTGTACATTGAAAATAATAAGTGATGATTAATATTGTGATCCACTAATTTTATTTATAACAAATTTTAA